AACTCTCCTTTAAAGCTTAAGCTTGGAACGTCGAAAGCTGGCGAAGCATTGTAAATAGTCTTGTCTATTTTTAAGGCTGTAAATGTAGAAAATAACCTTTTGTTTTTCCCTAAAAATTATTTAAAATTTTCATTTATTTTCATTGATACGAAAATATTCCTCCCACGGCTTAGTGGTAAGACTTATAATGCTAAAATTCGGAGATCGAATCGCATAATTTAGGTACATCGCATATAGCCATTGTGCTGTTTTATATTATAACAAAATAAAACCTTTCCTTCTTCAGAAATCTCCAGAAATTACTTTAGTCAATAACTAAGTAAGAATGTTAAGTTGGAGATCTCATTGATCGCTGATATTCGTGTTTTGTGCGTATTATTATCAAACGCAATGTGCCAATAATTGTTTAGTCCACAAGCGATGTTTAATTATGTTGCTCATATCATTGTCCACTCTACACTCAGCAACGGTTTTAAGTCAAATCAAGAACTTGTCCAGAACATTTTAATAAAATGCTAAAGTAAATTTCGTGCAAGTTACGTAAGACCCACACAAGGAAATTTTAGTGAATTGCTAAATAATTATCTCACTTGAATAAACCGATGTATGTGACGTAGAAAGTGTTTCGGTTACAGCTTGACATGTGTATAGCCATGCATACAATCTTTCATCAACGGTCATTTATCAGTCAATTATAGATAGACCTGGTAAGAAAATGACCATTTGCTTGTACCTGTTGTTGGCTGAAGATAATCTTGTAGTTCATAAAGGGGAGGTTTGAATTTACAAAATTCAACAGTAATGTATAGCTTTATCGTTATAGGGAGGATATGTTCACTAAGATATGTGAGAACTTGATTAATATACTTTACGTATTTGAACAACTACTTTTTATCGATTAGCGCTAATCAGAAATTAATGTTATAGCTTAACTAAATCAACATGAGAAAAATGTCTTAGGGGAAATGTGAAAATAAAATTCAAATGCATTCATTTCCCATATAACACTCACTATTCCAACCAGGATTTATCAACAGACAGAAATCACAATGAACGCGTTTTGGGCACTCTTGTGACTACGTAAAACACACGAAACATCAGATTTTATCCTTTGCAAAGGAAACACCAAACCAAGATAATCTGTCACGGTTTATCTTTGACACGAATACCCCAGGAGTGAAGTGTCACGAATTCGTGTTTTTTGAGCACGAGTTTCAAGTTGTTTTTTATTACTGGCTTTAGGCAAAATTTCCTACAAGGGATAACCCGTTTGAATGACTATCTAAAAGTCTCAATCTTGTTATTTTTTTGACCCATGTGAGATGGACGATATGTCACGGATTACGTGAATTGTTTTCAAACAAGTATAAATTGCTTTAGCTGTTGCCTATGGTATTAAAAGGCTTGTTTTTGATGTTAGTTAAGGGTTGTTTGTAAGAGGTTAAGAAGGCCACATCATACTGAAATTCCACATCTTGATATCTCGGTTACTGTATAATAGTTTAATAACTGTTTGTGAAATGTAACGTCGAGGTCCCCCGGTGGGACAGCGATACGTCTATGGACTTGCAATACCAAAATCCAGGGTTCGATTCCTCGCTTTGGACACAGCAGATAGTCCTTTGCAACTTTGTTATAAAAAAAAACAAGCTTCAAGTAACGCCAGGGGTGGACTGCGAGGGGGGGATAAGAGCAGCTTTGTGATTTGACAATTGACTGGTCCTATCCTCTTTGGGGGAGGGGTTTCAAGACGTAATTAAAAGTAGCAATTACATATAGAACTTTATATTATTTTACGTAGACGAGTGTAAAAAATCTTGAAAACAAGAATTCTTCGTTTTCTGTATATTTTGTATGCATTCATTGCTCTATATGTTATTTTCTTTTTAATAGCTCAGCAGGCCGTCCTCCCTCGGTTAACCCGGCATGGCCAGGTGGTTAGGGCGCTCGACTCGCAATCTGCGGGTCGCTGGTTCGAATCCAGTCACACCAAACATGCTCGCCCTTTCAGCCGTGGGGGTGTTATAATGTGACGGTCAATCCCACTATTCGTTGGTAAAAAGAGTAGCCCAAGAGTTGGCGGTGGGTGGTGATGACTAGCTGCCTTCCCTCTAGTCTTACACTGCTAAATTAGGAACGGCTAGCGCAGATAACCCTCATGTAGCTTTGCGCGAAATCCATAACAAACAAACCTCCCTCGGTTAAAACTGTTGGACCAGCCCAGTCGACGGCTCTTATGACCAGTCTGCCCCCGAATAACGTTTGTGCACTTGGATTGAAGCTCAATAACTGTCAGAAAACAAACAAGCCCCAAAACCAGACGGCTTTCAGCAATAACACCTTCCTCTTGCATACTTATCAATACATCTTTATTTTTAGCTTATCTTTTGTGACATCTTAGGACGGTGAATTTATTCACGTATAAAATGTGGCCTAATGAACAAGCAATTCGTCGTATACAACACATCTTTTCATTATTCGAGTTCCACTTTTTCAATATATCGGCGATAAGTCTGAAGGCTTATAACGCGAAAACCCAGGTTTTGATACCCGTGATGGTCAGAGCACTGATAGCCCACTATGTAGCGTTTTGCTTAAAAGAAACAAACAAACAAAAATCGTTAAATAATTAAAAGCCGGTTCTAACCTGATACCGTGCTCGCCCTTTCAGTCGTGGGAGCACTATAAGATGACGGTCAATCCCAATATTCGTTGGTAAAAGAGTAACCCAAGAGTTGGCGGTTGCTGGTGTTCACTAGCTGCCTTCACTCTAGTCTATCACTGCTAAATTAGTGACGGCCCCCAGTGGCACAGCGGTATGTTTGCGGATTTACAACGCTAGAAACTGGGTTTCGATACCCGTGGTGGTCAGAGCACTGATAGCCCACTATGTAGCTTTGTGATTAACTTCAAACAATTAGGCCGATAGCCCTCGGGTTGCTTTGGGCAAAATTCAAAACAAACTAACCTGATACAGCATACATGCAGTACCGCTATGAAATTGAATTATTTCTCATGTTACCTGAAAATACCCCTTTGGCCTCGTGAAATTGCTAGATATTTTTAATTACATCCTGGTAAACTCGACTAGAATTGTTCATTTTGATGCTCCAGTAAGCTGTTTATTTTTATGTCTCTATTGTTTTTCTATTTTTCTTCTTCTTTCTGTCTTCTTCCAAACATTTTTCATTCGATCGCCATTCCTTCATTTCTTGGCGGATTGTCTTGACAATTGGTAGAGTTGTACCTTGGTTAAATACGCTTAAACAACTTTTTCATTTGTTATATTTAAGCGTTTTTAAGGATTTTATGGGTCAAAGGAAAAACAACCCAGCAATCAATATGAAAATTGGCAAAAATATAAATTTTCATTTTCATGTGCCAACACATTGACATAAAAAAAGAAGTTGTATTTGCCCATTTTGAGTCTTTTTAGCGTGGGGGGGGGGGG